TTCTGTCCTAAATTTGTATTTTCATATATTTTGAGCCAAAAAACAGAAGTTTCAAGCTACAATGCAGTAGTGCTCTCTACCAGTCTTGATTTCATTAACAAAATCACTTGTGGAAAAGAAACTTCATCATCCATCATATTTGCCATAGAACAGTAAAGCTTTCCTAATTTGAACTGTTTCCTTTTAGAACATTAGTACTTTTAAAGCACTTAATTTTTTGTAACTCCTGAAAAAATTATAGGAAATACATCCAAAAGCAGGGAAAGGCCTACAATAAAATTTAACCTAAACAGCTTGATTAATATGCTTCCTCTTAAGTATACAATTATATTTGTTTGTTTGTCATTTTTAATTATTATTTGTTAGTTTCTATATTTTTTTCCTGACATTTATTAATGTTAAATCAACACACGTTTGTTTTTATATATCAAGTGTTCTGGAATGTAGCATTCATGTTTTAGAAATCTATCTCCAAATCTGCAGATGATTGATTACTAAGGCAGTCAAAAACACTGAATTTTTAAATAAATCTGGCAGTTTGAAAAGCTTACTGGCATAAGATCAAAAATTTTTTTTGCATTCTATAGATCTAAGAATAAATATATTACACAAATTATTATTCATAATTCATAAAATAACTGCTTCAATAGATTACTCAATCAGCTATATACAACCTTGTAAGCAGCAAAAATGTTTGGCATTCCAATGTTTTTGTTCTATTTTCTGTTAGCTTTTGTAAATAGTTTGATTTTTTGAATAGCAAACCCAACAAAGATAATTAAATATGACCGAAAAAGTTAGTCTAATAAACATATTTGTGGCTGCGTGTAACTGATTGAGTATGTTAATTATTAATATTAAATTTAAAAATCTTATGGTAATATTTGTTAATTAATACATGAAAACTGATATACTTTTTTTCAGCATGACAAATCAATAAACTGTATATTTTGGTGTATTATAAACTAGTTCAACAGCTACCAACATCTATATAACAATCCAAAAATAATTTGATTTGGTATGAAAGTGTCATTTACTATTAATCATTACATTTTAATACCAAAATGTTATTTTATTATATACAATTTTACAGAATAAGTATAATTTGCATATGATACAGATGTAGAAATGAATCAATTTTTTATAGTTTGTGTTTTGTAATGAAAGCAAGTTTTGTGGTTTTTATGACAAACATCTTCCTACATGACATAATAATTTATCTGAAGATTATTCATGTATCATTCTATGAATTTTTATATCTTACAAAAATCAATCTATCAAAATCTCGTATTCAATGGCTTTCAAAAATCAAATATTTTTCTTTAAAAAAATCAGATAACAAAATATATTATTAAAATTGAGTATCATGTATATCTTTGTCTATGTCAGACTTAGTATATTAATAGGACTTATTATACTGGTGTCCTATTAATATACCAAGTCTGATGGAGACAAAGATCTAATTAAAATTAATACAGTAAAAACATAGAGGCATAAGAATTCATATACACAATATGTTGCAAATTACACTCAATACAAATAATATTTTCTTGCACAGTCATTATTTTAATTGTAAACAATGACTGATACATATTTTCATATTCTATATACAGTCAAACCTTGGTTTTCGAACATACCTTATTTACTTGCATACAAGACAAGGTTTTTATTCATTTACCACAGCTTCAAATTCCTAGATCGTCCTATATGCACGAGCGAAAGATTCTTTGCATTTTTGCAAATAATTTTTGTGAATCTTGTATTTGCATTTTTTCCCAATTGTCCAGCTTTATATGAACATAATGTTGTTGATTTTACAAGATTTTTCCTTAAAGTTAAAATGCCAGTAATTTTTGCAGAACAATGTGTGCATTTACGTTCATTTGATATTTTACTGGCATTTTAACTTTAAGGATTTTAACTTTGTGATTAAACGAAATAAAATTAGAATTGTATTAATAAATCTAATTTTCTATTTTTTTTAATCCTTAAAGTCACACCTCATCCTATATACGAGTAAATACGATAATTTATTCCTAAAAGTTGTTGCTTTTTAACCTTTAATAAGGTAAAGAAAAAGACCCATTGTCCAGAATTCATCTTGTACATTAAAAGTGAAAAATAATATTGGACTTCTAATATTCGGCGTGAAGTCCAATATTAGTATTGGTATTCGCTAGTATTCTTACTAAAGTGCAGAAGACATGGCATAGTCCCGAAGTGCATCACCATCAACCAAAGAGCATTTCCTGCGTGCCTACGAGCTACCTTACAGAATGTGGAGAAATTGCTTTTTTCGAAGTTAATCAAATGCAAACGAAAAGCTCTGGCAGAAGTAGAGCTAAGGGTATATCTTGCCCACCTTCAGTTTACAAAGTCTTGCTGCCCGGCCTCTTTATATGAACAACTGGGAAAATTGCAGAGTTTTATCAACTTTACTTATCCAATATTCAGCGTGAAGTCCAATATTATTTTTCACTTTTAATGTACAAGATGAATTCTGGACAACGAGTATCCTTCTTTACCTTATTAAAGGTTAAAAAGCAGTGGCATAAGTTATATGCCCAGCTAGTATTCTTCCTAAAAGTTGTTCTAAGCCCAAAACAAATTTTCCCATAAGAAACAATATAAAATGGATTAATCCAATCCCAACCCCCAAAACAAAGCCCCTTTTTTAGTTGTATTTCATTCATAAAAATGCCTACAAATGCAATATATTATATTATATTAATAAATCTTTGTTAAATATTTAACTTAAACATATTTAAACACAAATTCTTGGATACCCTTTATATTACGTGAATGTCAATTAATGCAGTTTTTATTGGTAATTCAAACACAAATTCTTTATTGTATTTATTCAGACACTTGGCAAATCTCATCATTAAATTTATTGTGTTTGAATTACTAAAAATTATTGGCACGGTTTCAAAAGTACCAGAAAGCAGTTTTTATTAATTAATTTGATTTAGATTTGACTGCGGCACATACCGAAAAACAAAAATAGTATCTTTCCCGCACGAGCATTGAAATCTAATTTAAATAGCAACGTCATCAATGATTTGTGTCCTGACATCTAACAACGTGAGGTGATTTCAACACCAACTTCTGAATTGGAAGTCTTGTCATTAATTGGTTGGGCTATCGACTTTGTTTAACATAGGAAGTATATGAAGCCAACCATCTGCATCTCTGTAATCTGTGGCCTGCTCTTGCGGAGTATTTGTTCAACAACTGGCGCAATTATGAGTTTGAAATTCTGTTCGTAAACCGAACTGTTTGTAAAGTGAGGCATTTGAAAATTGAGGTTTGACTGTATAATTAATTGAAGATAAATTATATTATTTTAAGACATTGGGAAACATTGCTGATATCTTAAAATACAAAGACATGACACTATTTTGAAGAAGGATGATGTGTTTGGCCTCTTTGCTAGACTAAGGGAATGATGAAAAAACTGTATAAAGATTGAGACAAAAAAATGGATTAATTGGAGAGGAAGTGAATAAAAGGAAGAAAAGAGATGATATAATTTTGCAAAAATATCATAAACTAACAAGTTTTTGTTAATTGTTTGACGTTTCCTAAAATATTTTTTAAAAAATAATACTTTGTGAAACAAATCAAATTTATTAGATATATTAAATTAAAACAGATTGCTAATTAAATTATGCTGACTGATTGTTTGTAACTCTTGAAATTTTGTTATTTCCTGTATCAATTTTATCCACTCAGTAGTAACCAACAAATATATCCATCAAGGGCGATCGTGTGGCACTGGTGAACAACCAATATATCCACAAAATTTGCGGTTATTGCCAAAAACTACAGCAAAAAAAATTCACATAAAAAAGAAATTATGTAACAATAAAAAAAAAACTTTTCTTTACTAGACATAACTGTTTACAAAATCTTTTTCCGAAATGGTAATGAGAAAAAAACATGTGGAAAAATACTTAAATAATTTTCCACGTTTATTCTCCACTGCATAGGGATAGCACCATACTTAACTAACCCTACTGCTAAAAGGTTAAGCTTATAACGATGTAAATTGCAGCAAAGCTTAGCAAAATAAACTTATATTTTAGAGTTTTAGAAACATTAATTATATATATTATCATTAGATTCTGTATTTACAATTAATTTCCTTTGAAAAAATCAAAAGATCTAATATCAGGTTTGTTTTCAATTTTCTTTCTTTTTGCACCTCTTAACATTGAATTTATTTAAATTTATATCCTTAATTTATAAAATGCAATTAAAAGTACTGTATACATAATTTAATTAAAATTCCTCAATGTCCTTGACTTACTAAAATATAAATTTTTCATCTACAAGTACATATTTTCTAATATCAGGACTATAATTATTATACTGGCTTTACAGATAATGCTACAGAGTTTCACAGAAAACAATTTTTTGTTTTATTTAATATACCTGTTTTTCAAATACCGTATTTTAGATTTTAATTAAACAATATTTTTAATAATATATTTAGCCAAAATTCTGGTGAATCAGAGAATGCAAAGAACAGGAAACATGGAGAAAGAAATAGAAAAATTAAAATCTGAAATATGGTATTTGAAAAACAGGTATATTAAATAAATAAATAAATAAATAATTGTCAGGTATATTAAATAAAACAAAAAATTGTTTTCTGTGAAACTCTGTAGCATTATCTCTAAAGCTAGTATATTAAGTCCTGATATTGCAAAATACGTACTTGTAGACGAAAAATTTATACAGTATACATAATTAAATTAAAATAAATACTTGCTTCTTCTAGAATATTACGAAATTTTCTATAATCAATAGCCTAAGTATTCTCTGAAAATGGATGAAATGTGTTAAAGAGTACTTAGGTTATAGTTTACAGAAAATTTTACAATACTCTTGAAGAAGCATGTATGTAATGTAAATTTAAACAAAACTATGGAGCATAATAATAGTAATACTTAAATAAATTACTGTTTAAACATTTTGAATAATAAAATTTATGGTAAATAATTTTTTTATGCTTGCTACTAGTAGTAATGCTTTTGGAATACAATTTTACATTCAATTTAAATTTCTTGGTATGTTTACAGTTGGCATTGCTTAGTAATTTAAATACTCAAAATTAATTAAATTTGTTCATTTTATTGACAAAACACTTCATTAATTATTTCTTACTCTCATCGGGACCTGGACTCTGAAATGTAAGAAGCTTCTCATTGAAAATGAGATCTGCATAACGGATCAGATATTCGGTTAATACTGCTTGAACACCCACTACGTGAAGGGCACCAACTCCACCACCTTCAACGTCCTTTGATCTATGAGTTATAATAATTTAAAATAGAATTATTAAACTAATATTAAAAAAGTTTGAATATTGAATAATGAAAGTAAATGATACAATAATAATAATTATATATTTTATTCACCTCAATAAATTTGGGGCCCAGACAATTGCCACATTTTTTGGAGTCATTCCAGTTCGTCCTCCATGACCAGCAACTTTTGCAAGATGAAGCATTAAGTATTCTAAAGTACGATAGTGAGGAGGTGGCAGCTGTTGAACCACATCACGTAATCTTAATAATCTAACTTCTTCTTCGGACTGCACAGCATTCTATAAGTAATAGAAGAATTTTTATAAATAGAATTTAATTATTTATAAAGTTGTTAGAATTATAACAAGTTTAACCTTACCACAAATTTATCATATAACTGATATGTTAATAATGGATTTGGTAATTCACGAAAATACATTTTTAACAAAGAGGCAACACAGTGGATATCTTGGACGATGGCTTCGTCGGTAAGATCAGGAATTCGATCTTCATCGAATGCTAACCTGAAATCATATATTTTTACATTACAATATAAATCTGTTGCAATTTTTTGAAGTAGAAGAAAATAGAAAAGCACTAATTACATCAATAGTATCAAAGTAGAATAAACACACTAAAAATTTAGGTTATTTGAGATTTTATCTAAAAATTGCACCTAAAACTCTTTGTATTGGTCACAATTTCTAGTTATATACAAATTTGTCATATAACAGAAATTATCCTCATAAATCAGAGCCTTTAATAAAAACAACATTTGACATCAATTAAGAAAATATAACAACAAACAAATTTTACAAATTACTGATGATATTTTTGAATACCAAACTTTTTCAACCATTTTCATTTTTGAAAGCAAACAAACTGCAGGAAATCAAAGAATGAGCTAATGCTCAAGGCTAGTTTATAATAAATCTTTGTAAACGTAAGATAATGTGAGCAGATTTATTATTATAAAGGTAAGAATCCATCATTCTATTTACCTGAATATCTATAATTCATACTAAACATCCTATGACATATACAGGGTCTTCCAAAACTAATGCTACCATTTTAAATTACTGTAGTTATGTTACTTAATATCCGAGAGCATCATAATGTGCATTAAAACATTGAAAAACTGTCCAAGTTTTTCATTTACCCATTATAGTTTCTCATTGCATGAACCTTGTGCCAAACAGCACACATCCAACCCATACTCAAATTCTTCCTACACACACTACATATTCATTGTCACTTGTCCTATAGCAGCACAATTCTATAGTTCCTGCAGATTACTCATGTTGCACAATGATGTGCGATTCTGACATTGCAAACTGCAGAACATAAAATGCTCCTCTGTCGTGGAGTTACCAATTTTGTTTATAAAGTTCATTCGTTTACACCTAACATTTTGGATGCAACAAATGTACTGAAAATGAAAGAAAGTAAAAAGAAAAATAATAAAATATAGTTTATACAATTTAACCTTTCAATAACAAGCTACAGAATGTTCTAATCTACACCACTGGGTTTTGCAAACTGGCAGATTCTGTGAAAGAATGTAAGAGTGTTCTGCAAGATGAAAATGCATAATGGAGGAAAAAATTTAATGGCAGTTCTAAATTTGTATATATGGCAAATCAATATATTAATTAGCAACAAAATTATATTATTTTACTATAGCATCAATATTAATATTATAGATTTAAATTCTAAAAAGAAAATACTGACTATAATCTAGAATATTTACTATGTACATACACAAAGTGAAAAAAGAAAAGTTTACATGCAAAGAGTATATTTTAAACTTATTATAAGTAAACATTCAAGATTAGATGTTTCTTGCAACTAGTTACATGGTAGTAACAAGTGCTGCTGACTCATGAATTTGCTAAGGCTATCCAATCCCTTTTGACTTTTCATTTGAGGTTTATATGGTATACTGCTTAATTTCATATTATAGGTACACAAGATGAACACAAAACATTATAATTATAACCACTTTCTANAACTCTAGCTTTATATAGTACTGTATTCCTTCGTCATTCACACATTTCCAAGTATTTGAATATATTTCCTTTTCACTCAAAAATAAAATATGTATAAAAGTTTACGGCTTTGTGAAATTTCTTTTTTGAGTTTATGCCGTTAAAATAAAAAAATAAATAAAATAAAACAATTTGTCGGTTTTGTTTACACGTTTATTGGGCCGCATTGAAACTTGCCTTGGGCCGCATGCGGCCCGCGGGCTGGACATCCCTGCTCTACATAATCATAGGTGTCTAATCATTGTCTCTACAATCGGCTGTCAAAGTTTCACATACCATCAGCATTCAATCATGCATTCAAATAACTCTAGAAAGCACTGTAAATGAAAATGGCAACTCCACAACAGAGAAGATATTTTGTATTCTACAGTTTGCAAAATCAGAATCACTCATCATTGTGCAACATAAGTGATCTTCAAAAGCTGTAGAATTGTGACTGCTATGGGAAGAGTGACAATAGATATACAGTAGCAAGCATAGGAAGGATTTGAGTATTAGTTGAACATGTGCCATACAACAAGAGATACACACACTGAGAAATTGTAATGGCAAATGTGATACTTGTACCATTTTCCAATCTACAATGTTTTAATGTACAGTACATAGCAATGATAATAATGAACATAATTACAATGATTTAAAATGGTAGTATTCTGAAGATCTTATACTTTAGATAATTGTTGTTTTTTGTTTTTATTCTTATATTCCAAAATTTAACATCAAAAAGATGGTTATATCTCATTTCTTCTTACTTGATTTGGTATTCCAAATAATTCTCTTCATTTATAAATCTAAACAGTTTAAAATCACTACCAAATTGAATCTGAGACTGGAAATATTATTTAAAATTTTTATCACAAAATACTTCCATTCATTTTCATGTAAAAAACAATCTAATTTTTACCTTAAAATTAAAAATTATTCTTCATTCACATAAATATTAGCATAAGATTAAAAAAAAACAGTGATTTAATAAAGTAAATACATTTCAAGTTTGAATACTTTCAAGATACTTCACTTATCAAGAAAATGTTGAACTTTATCAACACTTTGCTGGCGAGCAAAACAACTTTAAAGTACTGGAATGTATTGTAATAATAGTATTCAGGTGGTTCTTGACTTTCAGACAAATGCATTTCTTAAAATGTATACAAAAGTCAAAAGTAAAAAGTTAAGCAAAAAGGTTAATATTTACAATGCAATTTATTAAATGCATATAGTATTTTTGGTACAATTAATCAATATTTTATTAACTATATATCAATACAATATAACAAAACAAAATTAAGTAAAATAAACTAAAATTGTTTCTTTGGGTAACTGAAAATATTTATTTCACACTAAAGAATCTAAAACCAAATAAATAAACCATCTTGAAATACTTAATGAATATTCATATTCTTGCTTTCCAATAATGAATAATAAAGGAAATAATAATTAATCAAGGTCTTATTATATTAAGTAACTATAGGTCTTGACCTATCAATAGACAAATTACTCACCCTCCTGGAAAATCGATTACTGTGTGATATTTTGGAGGAAGATTATCTGGTCCACCACCTACATCAATATACTTCTGCTGCGTCGGAGGAAGATTTGCAGATAATGCTCTCGATCTGGCTTCCTCTAAGGATAACAATTTTGTCGGAGTCGAAATAGCTAACGATTTAGGTCTCGCCCGTCTCGGAGAACCTGACAATTGAAAATTCATTACAATAAATATCCACAAAACTTATGTATTTCTCTATTCAAATTCTAGCAAAATTATTTTAAAGACATTTAATAGACATGGGCAAATGCGGCTCTTTTTGAGTTACATGTGGCTCTTGCTGAAAGTGTTAATTTCTGCTTTTTAATATTATTTGTATATTTTTTCTTATTGAAAAAGTATATGGCTTTAACGTTTTAATTTATACAAATAAGAATCATCTTTGATATGACACTGGCTCATTGGTGTGCCATGAAAAATTTTGTGCTCCACTTGCTCAAAAAAGTTGAGAATAACTGGCATAGAATAATAATAGAATATGATTATAAATTCTCCTTTTTTTTTAATGTGTTCTATTAAAATGAACTGTCTAAAGTCTGAATACTAATAAGTTATGTATGAACTATTTAAACTTGAAAATGGAAATGATGAGCGAGTTAACTTGTAGAAACATTGATTTAAAAAATATACTGTAGATCATATTTCTGTAAAGAAAAACATGTTTCTATTATATATTAGTATCAAAATTTTAGACCAATGTATAAAATATATTTAAAATCTAATTTTGTTTTAATGAAAAATTTCAGAAAAAGAGCCAAAGGAAAAGAAACAGAAAGAAAACACAACAGACTTTACAATGATTGCTTCACCATCTATATTACCCAATTCATTATCTGTCCTTACAGTTCATTTACCAGATCATAAAGCATTTCCTAGTCCTCCTAGAAGTCCTTCTCAAATGGAGGGGAGCTGGTATGTTACACCACCACCCTGTTTTACAGCAGGTGGACCAATTCAAGTTGAAATGTCTCCTTTAGAAAACCTTTTAATAGAACATCCAAGTATGAGTGTTTACACATCCACTCCACCAACCTCTCTTAGTAGCAATGCTTTGGTAAAAGAATTAAATTGTGAATTATTTTCTTCAAAATCCCAAGATAAAATAGAACTAGAAGAAAAACCTAAAGAAAGTATATCTGTACATATTATTGTTGAGAAAAAAGAAAAAATTAATCAGACTACTAACAGAAAAATACATCATCAGACAGCAGCATTTTCTATTGTTCATACAGGTAAAATAAGTTTATATATATATATATATACATATTTGTGTGTATGCATGTATGCATCTCTCTCTTTGTGTTTGTTGTGTGTGAATTTTATGAATTTTAATTTATATATCTTAAAAATATCTAAATACCTACTTTATTTAACAGATTTAATAGAGCAAATTGCAAACTTAAAATATGGACAGAAAGCAAGACATTATATAGAACAGAAATCCCTTCATCAGATAGATAAAGGGCCATCCATGGGACCACCTCTTTTTTGTAGGTAGATGTTGTCTTTTAGAATAAACTGGATGTGTAACACATCATTTGAGAATTTATTGATGGTATGCTGGATTTGTAACCTTCTGTATGAGCCAGTCACAGAGACTATAGAAAGCTCCAATCTAATGAATGGATATAATGATTTGTATTTGAATTTTATGATACAGGAAAGTTGCTTATCATTGGGTCTCAAATCTATCAGATAAGAAAAATAAGATTACATAGAAACTTTTTTATTGCACTTACAATGATACCAGGAATTGCAAGTGCAATAAAACTTATTTATCTTACTTGATCAAAGTAAGATAAATAAATCTAAACTGATCCACATATAAAAAAATTATATATTAATAAGTTGTAAATTTGAAAATTCTCTAAAATAATTTTTTGAAATATATTTTGTGAATAATATGGCAATATTACTAGAATTATTTGCTGTCAGTTTATGTAAAAAATTATCATCTTTTAAACATTAAGGTGCATGCTTTTCTAAAAAAAAATACAATAGACTATTGATTTAATGAATCTTGATTTAACAAACAAAAATATTTTTAACATAAAGGAAAAATTTATAATCTTTTTTCATTTATGGACAGAACATACTAAAAGATGACTCAATGAGCATAGATTACTCATTGACATTATATTTTATTCATACTTATACATTATAATAATATTTTAATACATCCTGTTCAGTTTGTTTTTAATATATGTTTTTAAAACACATTCAATTTAATAGACTTTAGGCAATAGTGGACATCTCTTCCCCCAATTAGTCCATTAAATCAAAGACTTACTGTATTAAAAAAAATACAATGTAACAAGAATTTAAAAATGTCAAAGTTCATATGTAAATTTTAAAATTCTTCTCAATATTTTAAAATAATATAAAAAGTTAAAAAAAATAAATTTATTCTGTGTACATATTTTACTTATAATTGTATATGAAATGAAGTACAATAGACTTTAATAACTTTATATTCAAAAATAGCATATCATTATAATTAAATTTGATTATGAAATTTCAAGAAAAATGTATTTAAAAACTGAATATGATAATAATAATCAGAAACATATTTCAATTTTTTTTAATGTTAAAATATACATCTTATATTATAATATATATAAACCTCTACAGTATTAATTTAATATTGATTCATGGTTTAATTAATAATAATAATAATAATATGCATAAACTTCAGGTAAACAGCACATTCCCGGCGAGAACATCACAGGATACTA